ATAAGTCGAGCACAAATCGTTTATATCTGAAAATAATGTTGTCCTAACTCTAATCATATGTTATAATAACCAGTGATACCTTACTCTTGACTTTGGTACAATGATAAATGATTAATTGAATTCATTGAAGTCACGTTCAATTTAATTACAACTATCCTTGCTACTAATTAAGTATTATCTAACCAAAGACTTTTTCCTTATGCAAAATCATAAAATAGACTAAATAATATTAAATAAATAATGGGAATGTGATGGAGAGGTACATGACTAAATTTAATATTAAATAAAAATTGAATATTAAATAAAATATTTAAAATAAAAGAGTGTGTGTTGTGTGGTGTGGGTGTGTGAGTGCCAGCCTTGCACTCTAATTCTCCCCCTCAACGATTCCTTCCCAAAAAGTAATGCCCTTTGCTTCAAAGCCAACCGATTCTCATTTTTCACCAGCTCTCTCACTTTTACATTTATGCCCCCACCGCCCACTTGTACTTTTTTCATTTTCAAAAAAATAAAAAATAAATAATAATAATAATAATAATAATAATAATAATAATAATAATAATAATGATAATAATAATAATAATTTGCATCCTAAAAGTTGTAGGGAAATTCTACGGTCTCGTTACGGAACTATTCGGTCGGAGTTTGTAACCGTTAGATCTACAATCCACGACAGTTACATGATGATCTAACGGTTACATATTCCGACAGAATGGTCCCGTAACGGGACTGTAGCATTTCTCAAAGTTGTAATGACGCAATTTTATTTATTTTTTATTTAGTGTGGAGTAGTGGAAATTTTCTCTTTTGTCTTTACTACATCTCCAATCTCATGTATTATACAAAAATATCTTGTAAATCATCAAGTGTAAGTTGCAAATAGTAGTTATGATATTTCGACACCTTGGACCTTATTTAAAACAAAAATGCTGGTGATACACGGTCTTATGATTAGACTATTAACATATATTTAATGTAAAAAAATTAATTATATAAATATTGGTACGTTAAAGATCTTCGACCGGTTGGAATAATCTTCTTGATCTTGAGTTTCTACGCCGATTGAACGCCTTTAAACCTACGGAACCCTCACGCCGGAGGTATTTTCCAGTGAAGAGCCTTAATCCGAAGTTTAAGTTGGCACTTGTAGAAGATAAAGTGCAGTATGAAAATGTATGTAGAGAATGTAATGTGAATTATGACATATATCTCACTCCCTTATATATATAGAGAGTTGACATTTTTTTGCCCAAGACTGCCCTGGTGGGCTGTTTGAACTGCCCGATCCGTTAGGTGGTCACATACTCATATCCACGTGTGGCTCTTATCCCCTTCAGATTCCTTCTTATCACTTAATATTTTGTATTAGACCGCTTAATGGTGTGACCAGCTCGTGTCTGCTGAGGTATAACGTTGTTTGCTCTGAGTCCAAGTGTCGTCCTTTCTTGTTGATCATACAACCAACTATATGCTTACAGACCGAGTTTCCCAAAGATCATTCGAGAACACTAGCTAGACCTGTTCTTGCCTTCTTGCACTGGTGATGCTCGACCACCGGCAGCCTCCTTTCACCTCTGCCCGACCAGCCAGTTCGCTCGACTAGTTCGGTCGATTTCTTGGGTTGTCCAATCCAAGTATGGTATCTCATATCAATATTAATTATTGCTATAAAGGCATAGGCAAAATTGCATTTTGTGCCCTGTAACTATACGTGTGTGGCAAATGTGGACAACTTCTTTTTGGTTTGGCAAAAGTGCCCCAAAACTTGTTCAAACCCGGAATTCGTGCCCATTTACCTACAAGTTACCGAATTTGACCGGTTTTTTGTGTGACAAAACAGGACAGTAACTTGTTAAAATTTGAAATTTGTGCCCAAATTGGGTACGAATTACGGGTTTTAACAAGTTTCAGGGCACTTTTGCTAAACCAAAAAGAAGTTGTCCACATTTGCCACACACTCCTAATTGCGGGGCATAAAATGCAATTTTGCCTAAGCATATATAAATTTAGTTATTGCTAAAATCTTGTAGTTTAATAATTAAGCAACCCAACGCACGCAATAATGTATCTTAGATTTTTATTTCCCACACTTATACTACTTCTCTAATTTACTAAAAATAATAATTGCAATCAATCATGATGATTATATATATATATATTGGTAATGGCGATAAGTTTAACTGTACTGCAATCACGGTGTTTGTTATAGTTAGATCAATATATTCATACATAAATTCATACGAATATATTGATCGAACAGTAACAAAATCCGATAACTTCAGTAGGTTGAAATGTTATTACATGTGCAAATACATGTTGATGTTAAATCTAGCTAAACTATCCCACTTGTTCAACCTTCCTATGTAAGCACTCTCACAACTCACAAATATATATATATATAAACACTCACACTCACACGTTAAGTTCCAACGTCCAAATTAAAGTACAACAACCGAAAGAAAGAGACGATCATCATTCAATCTAAACAAGTTTCACGAGTTGCCCCTTTTTTTTTTGCCATTTTTACACTTTCCCGATCGATCCACTTATTTCTATTTATAGCACTTCCCACTATCTTTTTACCTTGTTTTTTCTTTTCCCTTCATCACACCCAACAAATTATGCTAGCTCAAGAAGAAGTACTAATCGGAATCAAAGGAAAACGCAGCAAGCGGCCGCGTAATTCCGAGCCCGTAATCGCATCACCGTCCGACTCAGACGACCACGCACAAAGCACGGTGGAGGAGGAAGAAGAAGACATGGCCAACTGCTTGATCCTCTTGGCCAAGGGCTCACTTCCGGCGGCGGTGCCGCCGGCGGCGGCCGCGGCGGCGGAGGTCTACCAGTGCAAGACGTGCGATAAAAGCTTCTCCTCTTTCCAAGCGCTGGGGGGCCACCGGGCGAGCCACAAGAAGCCCGGAAGCCGGCCCGTGTCTGCGGGAGATGAGAAAAGGGTGGCTGATGAATTCCGATCGGACGGCTGTGGTGAGAGTCCGGTAAGTTTATCGCTACAGGTCTCGAGCAAGGCGAGGGTCCACGAGTGCGCGATTTGTGGGGCTGAGTTTGCCTCCGGTCAGGCACTGGGCGGCCACATGAGGCGGCACAGGCCGATTCTTCCGGCGGCGGTGGCGGCGGCTCCGGGAGGTGGAATTGAGGGTCGGGAAGTGAAGAGGGCGAGGAATTTGCTGTCTTTGGACCTTAATCTTCCGGCGCCGGAGGATGACGTGGAGTCGGATAAGTTCGCCTTTGCGGGGAAAGAGCAAGTTCTGGTGTTCTCCGCCTCGCCGCTGGTTGACTGCCATTATTAGCTACCTGTTGTTTAATTATTTTTTTAAAATATTATTATTGGTTTGCCTTTATTATTTATTTTTATTTTTTTTACCGAGATAATTGTGAATAATGAAATTGTAACATTATTTATTCATGTTTGTTTAAGTCCATGTAATAGAATGGATTCATTAATTATAAATTCTCTATTCATTTTTTTTTTTTAATTTTATTTTTGTGCGTGTAGCTTGTGCATATATATACCATTCTAATTCTCGTGAGAGGAATAAGCTGTTAAATGAAAGGATCGCTCGACGACTCGACTCACCTCGTTAAGACTTGAGTTTAGCTCGACTCGTTTAACAAGCGAGCCGTATTTGAGCTCATTAAGGCTTGAATAGTGAAAATTTTATATAATTTTCTATTGTTCAGTTCGTCAAGACTTGAAGAGCAGAACTCTAGTTTTTTTACTGGCTCGATAAAGACTCGAGCTTGAGTTGGGGCGATCATGTACAAGTTGAGGAGTGGAGGTTAGTTATGAAATATGAATTTAAATAAAATGAAAGAGACGTCATTAATTGCAAGGTGGGTGACCAAATTAATTAAAGAGTTACAAGCTCATTGTTAACTAGCTCCGCACTGAAATTGGACTTAATTAGATTTAACCAAACCAAAAGAATTTTGAAAGTGATTAAGTATCCACACATCTTAAGTTTGGTACACTTGATTAATTGGGTCGGTTTGATTAGGTGACTTAATTAACTTAAGAAGTGGTTTTTTTGTGAGTGACACAGATGAGAAGTAAGAATTTGGAATAAGTGCTTGTGTCAAGTAAGGATAATGACAGCACAATTTCGCCTGGCTTCACTTTCCGGATAAGTAGATATTATGTGGAACAACTAGCTAGCTATGAGTTGTTTACAAGGGTTTATATATATATACAATTAATTAAGTCTGGTTACGGAATTATTTCGTCGGAGTTTGTAATCGTTAGATTAAATATATCTAACGTTACAAACCTCGATAAAATGGTTCCATAACGGGACCGTAGCATTTCCCAATAGTACGTATGTAACGAAAAATCTTTCGAAAAATAAATATGTTTCGATATATAGTTAAAAAATCATTAAATATGTTTCGATAACAATTAAACACGTGGATATTATTTTAATTAAAAAGAAATTAGATGGAATAATTGGGATTAAAAATAGTATTTCACTACTCTTGGATCGCTAATTTTTTATAATACTATATTAATTTGTCAAGTTAAGGATCAATTTTTATTTATTTATTAGAAACGTTATTCCAGTCGTTAACTCTAAGGAATTGCATGGAACATTATTCAGTTTCCTTATCCATTCTGAAGTTTTTCTTCTTTTTTTTTCTTAAAAAAGGGGATTAATACTGGTTCCCCTGTCCCCCGAGTGACTCAAACTCGGGACATAATACACGCCGAGCAGAAGTACGCTACTGCACTAACCCCTCTTCGTCTTATCCATTCTGAAGGTTAACCCGTGAACACTTATAACCATAATAAAATTCAAAGTTACCACAATTCACTGTTGTAAGTATACGTTACGTGTGGATTGTCATATTTCATACTTGTAAATAAACTCTCATATTTAACCAACAGGATTGGCTCAAAACTCAAGTGGTAAGCAGTTTGATGTCGCTTAAGTAAGGTTTCGTGTATTCGAGTCATTGTGGATGCAGAAAACTCTTGTTGGGAAACTCACCTACCACTGTCAGGTGTTTGACTCGAGTCGACCAACAGATTAGTCGGGGCATAGCTTCGGATACCGGGTTAGCTAAAAAAAAAAAAAAAAAAAAAAACTCTCATATTTATTAAAAAATTAACATATTTAATAGGATATATTATGTCAATTTAAGATTAATAAAATAGATTGTATTTAAACAAATACCAATAAATTTGCAACGAATTTATTCATCATTGTATCAATAACTAAACTTTCTGTTGTTATTTCTCAACAACAATATTCATTGGCATTATTGTTAAATTTGATTGCCAATGAATTTGTCATTGTCAAAAATTATTATTATTATTATTATTATTATTATTATTATTATTATTATTATTATTAAATTTGTTGTAGTGATGTCTAAAATAATAATAATAGTGAAGATCCATAATATCTTTGATCATGTTCTTCATACTGATATGTACTAATTACTTCTTCATCCCACTAACTTATCTCTGTGCTAGAATTGCCAATTAAACATAGACATAATTAATTAATTAATTAATTAATTAATTGTTTGACGAGTGTTGCTTGGCACTTATTATTGTAAGATTAAATTATAGATTTAGAATTTCTCTAGGTTATAGTTTTACAGTAGGCTTGGTGATGGACGGCT